GGTTATATAATGTGATTGTAACGATTTATTATACTTTTCATCGTTGATAATAAAATACAGTATTCATCATTTTACAAAAGTAAAGATCTCAGCAGTGGCCCTTATAAAAATGGTAAAAAAAATAGTTATTTGTTTTATAAAGTTCAAGGTAAAAAAACCAATCATAATATTAGTTATAATCATTTGAAAAAAAGGTTATGCACGCACGTTCTGGAGGAAATATTGAAGTAATGGGTCTAATGCAAGGAAAAATTAGTGGCGATACTATAATTATCATGGATGCTTTTGCATTACCTGTTGAAGGTACCGAAACTAGAGTGAATGCTCAAGCTGAAGCTTATGAATATATGGTTCAATACCTAATGACTATAAAACAGGTTTGTTTGTATTTGATAAACATTATTGGAAATAAAAAAATGTGTTGTGTGATTTTCTTAATCAACTTATAAAAAAATAGGTTGGAAGGGCAGAAAATATTGTAGGATGGTATCATAGTCATCCAGGTTATGGCTGCTGGCTTTCTGGTATTGACGTAAACACACAAATGACAAATCAACAATATCAAGATCCATTTGTTGCTGTTGTGGTAAATTATAAAAATAAATTTAAGATGAATTATTAGTATTATTAATGGATATGATAAAAAAAAATTTTTCTAATGTTTATTTTTTTTTTGATTTTGTAAAGATTGATCCTAATCGTACAATATCTGCAGGAAAGGTTGAAATTGGTGCATTTAGAACCTACCCACAAGTAAATAAATTATTTCCTTTCAAGAAATATATATATAAATATAATTATTTTTAAAAAAATCTTTTATTAGGGTTATAAAGCTCCAGATGATGGTCCATCTGAATATCAAACCATTCCCTTGAGTAAAATTGAAGATTTTGGTGTTCATTGTAAACAGTGAGTTGTTATTACCATTATACCCAAAATATATATCTTTATTTTTAAATCATAATGTTTCAATGGATAATACTTATGTGTGTAATAAATTTTTTTATATAGATATTATCAGCTTGAAATTTCACATTTTAAGTCTACATTAGATACATATTTATTAGAATTACTTTGGAACAAGTATTGGGTCAATACATTGTCACAATCTCCTTTAATCACGGTATTAATAATAATGATATTGTTGTTGCTGTTTATTATCATCATATTTTAAAATAATGATTTTTATTTATTTTCAATTTTATATAGAATAGAGAGTATTCAGCAGGCCAAATATATGACCTTGCTGAAAAATTAGATCAAACTGAAACACAAATACAACAAAATGGAAGAGTTTCTGGTTTTCCAGGTGGCATGAGTGGTGGTGGTGGTGGTACAAGAAATGCAACTGGTGCCCAATCTACATCAGCTGCAGCTTCTTCCTCTTCTAGCAGTAATAGTAACAATAATACCAACAATACATCATCTGCTACTGAAAAAAAGAAAAAGGAAGAAACTCCGCTTGGAAAGATTACTAGAGATAGGTATATATATATATATGTTTAGATGGATTTAAATTTATCTATTCTATTTAATTATTTTTTTTTTTCAATTATATATTTGATAATAGTTTTTAAAATAATTTTTAATATTAACTTTTTTATTTCTTAATTATAAACATTTGTTAGGGAATTGGTGGGAATTTACCAAGATCATTAATTCCACAATTATCAACTGTATTATTTAAAATTACAGGTCGTTATATTGAAAATAGTAGAGAATGGTTGAATATATTGTTATCACAAGTAATTTTCTTATTCATATAATAATTGATTGATACTATAATTAATTGATTAATAACCTGTTTATCATTTCTTGTTTATTTGTTTGTAAAAAGGAAAACTTTCCATCTAAAAATGTTAATCAAGTTACTAAACAAAATTTCGCTAAAGCAATTTTAGGGTATGTGTATTTTACCTTCATTATCATTAATGTTTTGATCCTGATTATCATTTGATTATAGGAAAAAAACTAAATTTATAATTTTCTTCCTTCAAATAAAATCAAAGTACAAGATCTTCTCAAAAATTTAAAGGAATAGTAACCGAATTTTCTATAAAATGTAGAGGTTTGGAAGATTCTGCTTACGGGCTCATATAATTAAACTTAAAATTTTTTTTAAAAAAAAGAACGACTAATTAACAAAAAAAAAGGAATTATTATAATTATCTTTTATTATTATTATTGTAGTCTGATCAAAATATTAATTAGTTTGTGCTTGTTTTCCTTTTCCTTCAAAACTATTACCAATAATTCGTTCATAATGATCAATTAATTTTTTTTTATAATATTGATTATTATTATTATTATTTGCATTTTTCTATGCATCTTCAAACAAAAAAATAATAAATGAA